AGCTGGAGCACTGCGTCCAGTTCTGGGCGCCGCACTTCAGGAGGGATGTGGACAGCATGGAGAGGGTCCAGAGGAGGCCACTCGCATAGTCAGGGGACAGCAGGGCAGGCCCTACGAGGAGAGGCTACGGGACCTGAACCTGTTCAGCCTCCACAAGACAAGGCTGAGGGGGATCTAGTGGCCTGTTATAAACTAGTCAGGGGGGACCAGCAGGCACTGGGGGAGTCACTGTTCCCCCGAGCACTGCCAGGAGTGACCAGGAATAACGGTCACAAGCTGGCAGAGGGGAGATTTAGGCTAGACATCAGGAGGTGCAACTTCACAGTTAGGGCGGCTAGGGTCTGGAACCAACTTCCAAGAGAGGTGGTGCTGGCTCCTACCCTGGGGGTTTTTAAGAGGAGGTTAGATGAACACCTTGCGGGGGTCATTTGACCCCAGTGCTCTTTCCTGCCATGGCAGGGGGTCGGACTAGATGATCTGCTCAGGTCCCTTCTGACCCTAGAAACTATGACACTATGAATGTGAGCTTGCAGGGGGTGTCGGGCAGTGTCGTTCTAGTATAATGCTTCAGGTATTTTGTATATGTTTAATGATCATAGGCGAGTAAGAATTGCCTGGAAAAATGATGAGGAGGTACTTACCCTGTCACTTACCGTCGGCTCCGGGATTGCTCTCTGAATCACTTCATCTGTTTCTCACTCACTTCTTCTCAGAAATGTCAGAGTCTACTTTTGCTTTTCAGATGCTCGCAGCATGTGTCCAGGGGGAGCTGTGCACGCTCCCTTTGCTAACTCGTCCTGTGGCATGGTGCTGTTTGTTTGTGAGGTTTTAGGCTGCGAATGAGCATGTTCGAGAAATGCACATTGAGAGAAATTCAGTTTATTTTGTACAAGGTGGTTCCTTAGCACAGTGAACAAATATATTACAAATCTGTCTTGCTTTAAAAAAGTATTGCCATTTTGGTGTCTAAACTAATGCTAATATACAGGAATGGATTTGCTTTATTTTCTCCTGGTTAAGCTCTATGCACATCACTTCATTTGGTTTGGAAATCCAGCTTTGGAAAGTTGAGCATCTCTCTGCTCTCCAGAGTCTCATCTCAAACTGAACAGAAATGCAAACACATACGTTGCTTAGGCTTGCAATGGAGACTGCTTGTGCTAGTGCTAGATCGATGATAGGTCTCTAACAAGCCTGACTTTAATTGAACTGCCTTTCATTGTTATTTCTGAGGTAAGTCTTTCTCTATGTGTAAGTAAAATATATCCCTACCTGGTCCTACAAAATAATTGTTGCATCTCGAATAAGGCTTCTCTGGAAAGTAAAATTAACTATTGCTGATCAATCATTTGCCCCCATGCATGCATGCAGCATTCATGTAAATAGTGATGCATTGTCCTGCAACATGAAAACCTGCTTCTCTCTCACTTCATGGGGGAAGATCTCTGGAGTTCATCGCCTGAACTGCAGAAGTTGTTGAATTGCACAAAGGGGTCTGGAACTTGTACCTGCCTCCACCCAGGAAAGCTTCCAATCTCTCGTGCAGTCTCACCAGTGCTTCTCCCCGCCCTGTCGCAAGTAAATTCGATGCGTGTGTTTGACTGAACCAACTCACAGTCACAGAAATATAGCGTAGGTGGTGGCAGTGCAGAGTGCTCACCCTGCCCATATGCCTCGACCCCAGCGATGAAGGGGGGAGTCTCCACAGTGCATCCAGTTGCTGGCCTGCTGGAGAGTGCGTCCCAGGGTGCCAGCTGATGGGACGATAAACCCGTTAGCCGGAACTAGATGGTGGCCACCACTGCTTTATTTCACATAAGCTGGTCATCAAATGGCAATGACTCCTTGCTGAAGCCAGATTCAAACCACGGCTCTGAAGGTGAAAGGCTCTGGACCTTCCTCCTGGTCTTGTAGACCATCGTTTCCTGCTTTGACAAACCAGTCCCAGCACATTTTATTTCTCTTGCGTTTCCATCAGACTAGCGAATGCACAACAGACTTTTTTATATTTAAGAAGCAATCAACTTGCTACTCCTGCATTTGCCTAATAAAGTTACATATTTAGCATCAATACTACTTCATGCTCAAGATCTACAAGGAACTGCTTAACAGCAAGTATTCTAATCTCTATGTCGATAAGGGTTACAAAAGATGGTCAGGGAGGCTTCTTCCAAAGCTGTGCCACAGGCTAACCACATGTTAATTATTCCACAAACAGCTGTTTAAGAAGGAAATCTAGTTACAGCTCAGTGTCATGACGT